TTAATTAGCTCGATCAAGATCTCTAATTAAGATATATATACTCATTTCTCTATTTCATTTAGGTTAGAAGATGCTAAATTAGTCATCTTCAAACTCCATAATTGAGCCACTATCTTTTGTCCTACTAATTAGTTTCAGTTGAGAATTATGATTAGTATTCTTATAATATACATAAGGCATTATTAACACGTAGCGTGATTTGCATATCTATAATTATTAAGTGTCATACTTTAATTATTAAGCCTTCATTCCTACTAGTTATTAACGTCCAAATTAAGGGATTAGTTAATTAACTGCTGTCTGCTAATCCAAAATCATATTGCATGTTCATCTTATTAGAGAAAACTTACCAATAAGAGAAAAGATTAATCATATCTTATATAAGCAACCTTTACTAACAAACAATCTAGTGATGGCTTAGATAGAGACTCTTTATATTGGTTACAAAAACTCACCCAATAATTACGCATAAATAATAGATTTTGAACCCTACTTAGAAGAAACTAATGTTTTCCAAATCTAAATTGAATAAAGCCTAAATTTTGAATGTATATTTTTTGTTGGAAAAAACGCTATATATTAAAATGCCAGAGTACTATACTAATATTCTCTTTGTATCATAAGTTTGTCAGTAAAAATCTCAAAACAATAAGTAGAAGTATGTTCATGCATTATTTGTTCTAAGAAGTTTGCCATACATAAAAACATTGTAACTATTAAATTAATTAGGGTACGAATTATTAAAAAAAAAACACAATAACTCGCAAATCATAAAGAAATATTACATATGTTAGGGGCGCAAAATGCAACGAACTCTATAATATTTTAAGCCAATAGTAGAGTCCATCTTTTTCTTTTTTATTCTTTTTCTATTTCTTCAATTTTATAAGAATTTAATTGCATTAATAATTCATCTCCATCTATCACATGTAACACGGAATTATTGGATGTCCACTTTTTCTATAGCATGAAAAAATGGACAAATGCAAAGGAAAAAATTCCCCCACATATTTAGTGCATAATCTTCAGTAGATATGATATGTAATCGACCTTTGACCTTAAGCTAAATCCTTTTTTTCTTTAAAAAAAAAAGTCCTTGGGCCAATGAATTAATTTATTTGAGCCGAGAATTTATCAAAAATAATCTCTTTACCTTCACAAAATAGAATAAATCGGCATATTCTCCAGACTAATGAAATTACACCTAATATATTGTTGTTATTGTTATTATAATATCACGTAGTTGAACTTTTAATGATAAGGGTATGGAAAAAGTTGTGTTGCTCTTTTATGAAGCAATCTATAATGATGTAATATAATCTCACGGTCCTGACAAAACATCCTCAATTAATTAGGATACTTTAATAGGTAAATTTTATATAGCTATCGTAAAAATATCCATTCTAGCTTCAACAAGTATTAAGATTGTGGCATGTTATAAGTGTTGTATTATTTGTATGGCCTTAGCACAAGAGATTGGTGATATAAAGTGTTAAACTTTTAAGATTTTTAGTATTATATTCATTGTATTGTTGAATTATGGGATAAAATCTAATATGTTTTAAATATTATAGTAGGTTTATGCATATATATTTATTTTTTGTGTTATAAGTTATGAATTCAGAACTCATAATTGAAAGGATACATCCGACCTATCTGACATCACTGTAGTATGGGAGATCATTTGTTCATTACATAATTTTTTATAATTCTCATATCATGAGATAGCTTTTGAATTGACGCAAAATTTATTTCTTATCATAACATTAGAGCTGAAACTATTTCAACATGAATTGGTAGTTATGTCAAATATATTTTACTTTTTTGTTCACTTAATCACTTGGGAAATTGATTGATATTTATCAACCAACCTTACCAGCTAAATTGGAGTACGTATAAAGTACTTTGTACAGCTCTCCTTGTACTTTTGGATTGCAATCTCTAATATCTCATGTGGGAGGGCCGGAGTCCGAAAACTAGTTATACAAGTTCCGATAAATTTAACAATTTTTATTTAGATCAGATGTTTGTATTAGGAATTTCATTGAATATGTATAAAAATTTAACTATGAACCTTGTAACTATGATAATTATAGTACGATGACAAATTTAAATCCATAACTCTAAATTCTGACTCCGTCTCTCTAATAGTGGTACAAATTGACAACATACTTAAATTTTAAGTGTAAGTTTGTAATATTTGATCATTATTAGTTAGGTTAAGTGGATAGCATTTTGGCTAATTTTTTGTTTCTCCTTGGTAAACGATCCAATGAGTTGGAGAAACTCACCAATCTATTCATTAATTTGGTTATAATAATATTGTTTTAATTTAAGTTAGAAAATTCTAGAAATTTTTAATGAAGACAAAATCAATACCAAATTAAAATTTCTTTTTCTAACTAATTACCAATTTGGACTGAATTAATGGATCGGGTTATTTATGGGCTTAAATTATTCATTCGGCCCAATGCAAACATTTTGGACAGTACTGCACAGCATCATTTAAGGAATAGCCATTTATTAAACTTCTTTTGTATTTGTAATCACTCTGTTGCCTAACGTTCCCCAAGCAACATAAGTGGTGAACGGCCACTACTTTTTTGGTGCGCATTGAGTTAATTCAATTATGTATAGTGACTTGCAAATTATACAGTAGACGTAACACTAGATAAGTTTGATACGACAATCTCAATTAAAACGACATTTTTAGAAGAAAAAAAAAAAGATCTTTGACCTTTTGTTTTTATAGATTATCGTATGCTGTATCAACTCAATGACTTGCTTTCTTTGAAGACCATTTTTTTTTAAACCCTCTGCCGCTAATTTTAGATCCGCATTGAATAATTTTATTTTGTGCAATAACTCAAAAATCACACAGAAGTCAAGTTTAACATGACAATTGACAAGCTTAATTGAAAAAACATTAATTAAAAAAATCGATCTATGATCTTATAAATGGAATACCACCTACCGCACTAATTCAGTACCAAATGGCCAAGGATGCGACACATGTCATTCTCTTTTTCCTTTTATATATATGTTCAGTATTTTTTTCCCTCTTAAGATGAAAATAGTATGTTATCTGTATGTAGAAAATGTATGAAACATTTAGCCACTTACTAGGAACTTGTCCTAACCTATATATATAATATCTTTACATTTGAAAAGCAGTTCTATATATGAAATGTTTGGTTTCTCTTGTTCTCTCTCTTTTTTCTTCTTCTTTCACATAATAAAAGAAACAAATAAAAAAGATATGCAACAAAGCGTCCATGACACGATACAATATTGTTAGAGTTCGATGCATGTGCGAAGATGAAATAATCGGTTCTAACCGTTGGTGTTGAATAGACTAGTTGAACTGCATATGATAGTTAAAGTAGACTGAAATTAATAAAGATAGGTCAATGGTCATTAATCAATATAAAAATTACTTCAATTTAAACAAGCCGAATTAAAATTTAGATGAACTGAATCAGACCAGTCAATATAGGTTAGGCTAATAAGCGAATGAGTTATTAACTTATTTAAATTTAGACAAATTAAATAAATAATATTTTCATAGCTCGCTATAAATGTTTGCTAAAATAAATCCTCACCAAATTTTGAAATGGAGGTATTTTGACATGATGAGATTTTGGTGGGGGTCTAGAAAATTTCACCACACTTTCAATAAAAATCACTATTTAGTTTTTTTTTTTCTCTCCGAAACAGAACCTCTTTTATTATTGCATCAACGGAATACATAATTTAAACATATCTTTTGCATCCTGGATGATCCAACTTGGGAAAAACTTCTCCCAAGAGATTTCCTTCAACAAAGAGATAGAGTATCTAGCTAAACTATACGTTATTTTGTTCACATATCTAGAAATATATATAAATTCTACATGATTGAACATGCTTGAAAGCTTCCAAATGTCTTCACACAACACTTCTATCTCCCATGAAGTTGTTACTCGTTTCTGAATCATATCAACAACATTTTTAGCATATGATAAAATCTTCACTCTCTTCCATCCCTTACTGATAGCATATTCAAGAGCTTTCCTAATAACAATTGCTTCAGCAGTCATGACTCTCCCAACAAATTGGATTGGGGATCCATGGGGATGAAGCAGGTTCCCAAGGCTATCCAAAGCCACAATACCGATACTTGCCCTTCCATCATCATTCTGCAATTCTGCATCTGTAAACAATAAAATGCCATCTTGCAAATTTGTTAGTTTAATCACAGAATGATTTCTAGAGGAACAAGAAGAAAGACTTTTTGTTAGTAACTCTTTATATTCTTCATACTCAAACATAGATCTAGAAACAATATCTCTTGGTTCTAACCTTTCCTGCTTAAACAACCAACTATTCCTACCTTTCCAAATTTGCCACATAATGTTAGCACTCAAGTTTAACAAGTCAATAGATTCAGGAAAAGATTTGGTATTTTAGAACAAGTCATATCACCAGATAGAAAAATCAATAATATATCCTATATCAGGCCAATTTATAGGACAATGCTTCCACACAAGTTGAGACCGAGGACATTTGAATAACATATGTTCTATATCTTCAGGTCCAAGACCACAAATCTTACAAGTCTTATCTACATTGCGTAGTCTTTTTGCTAAATTACTATGGACTGGTAGAGAGTTAAGCACACATTTTGTCAAAAAGTGTTTAAGCTTATTTTTAACTCCCAACTTCCATAGGAAGTCTCAAAAACATTTTGGAAAAGAGTGACAACTCGCTTGAGCTTCCGAATTTTTCATTGTCTTACCGATCAAATCCCTTGCGATGTAGTAACCTGACTTAACTTCATAGTTTCTTGTTTTTGTATGGTGCCATATTAACCTATCATTAGAACTTGCAATAGAAATTGGGATAGACAATATAGCATTAACATCTTCAGCTTCAAACAACGAATTAAGCTCTTGTATTTTCCATGTGTGCATATTCTTATCAATTAAATCAGATACTACTAAATCGAAATTTCTATGGCCATGGATACTCTTAGGGATGAAGCCATTATTATTTGGTATCCTATCATTTTTTTAAAAAAAAAATTTGGTTTCTCACCCGGTGTCCGGAGCCCACATTAGAGCTCCGACTAAATCTGGATCGCACTCTGCAAGACCCATTCGGGGGTAACGCTCCCAACATAATTTTCTCCATACCCAGGGATCGAACCTGAGACCTCTGGTTTATTTTCCTATATTATGTGTATTGGTCTTAAATATTTGTCCTTCGTGACAAATACAAGAATATTATTTATTTTTTTGAGAGACGTAAATTTATATTTTTATAATTATAATATCTCATAGGTTCTACTTGGGATAATTTTTGCCCGTAAAAAAATTAAGTTCCGCTAAGCATCTGATTAACGACCTGCCCATTTAAAAGATAATTTGTCCAAATCCACCAAATCCTAATGCCATCTGATTAGGATTTGTTTTTGATACTTTGCATTAATAATCAAATCCAGATCTAGAGAATCAATTTTCTTTTAATCTTGTGTCACCTCAGTTTTTTGTAGGGTGATTAAAAGTGTTGTTCCCTTAATTATGATATCATTATGTCTGATTAAAACAAAATTAAAGTTGATTAATTTTCCACAACGTTAAAAGGTAATAATTAGCCTTTAACATGAGTAAATAAATAGTATGGTACGACAATATAATTATCAAGGTTATACATATTTGATATTTACATCAGAGTTCAAACTATATGATCAATTTATTTAGGTTATAATGCTTCTCAATTGACTACGATTACGTGATAACAATTTATATAAAAATATATGTAATTAATTTATATTGATGAAAAACTAGTTCTCATAGAAATTTTAATTTTTTAATTTAATTTCTTGATCAATATAGGGTGTCGAACAAATTGACTTTTAACAAATATAATAAAAGATGACCAACTTTAATTTGTGATAATGAATTGACAAGTTTATATGCTTTTTGTAGGTCATGCATATATATGGGTCTAATTAATTACCCTTTAGCTTAAAGTTAAACCTAAAGGTTATCATGAATGCCTTCTTTAACAAGAGGACAAGAAAACTTAGCTAATAAGCTATTGCCTAAAATGGATATTCTCTTTTACTACTGATCAATGGGATGAGGAGACGATAACTTTGGATTAATGCATGATTAAGGTAAGAAATTTGTGTATGCTTATTATTTTACATGTTGTAGCAGATAATTTTTATATTTTTAAAATTTTATATTTAATTGCACATTTTACAGAGACTTGTCAATAGATATTTTTTGAGTGATATGATGAATAAGAGTTTTGTAGTAATGATTTATATAACTTGAAGAGAAAATACATAATTACCCCATCGAACTTATACCAGTTTTTGAAGTAGACACCAATAATTTGTGCGAGTTCTATTACCCCACGAAATTATTTTAAAGTAGCATATATACCTCCTTGGTCATTCCCAGTTGTAATAAGGCAGGTACAAATCACGCACCATCCCTAATCTACCACCTGTCATTCACAATTTAACTTTTAATTCTTTTCATTTTTGCCTTTACTTTTCTATTTTTATTTCTTTTTATTTTCTTTTTTGAATTTTTTCTCTTTTAAATTTCTACTTTGCCTTTGATTTCTCGAATTGGTTTTTTTGAATTCCACCACCACAAATCATAGTGACAACATTTCATCATTGCACTACTTAATCACTACTAAATCATGACAAATAATCAATATATGAAAATTAGAAATTCTATCAAACTTAAATTTTAAATCATCATCTTCATCTTAAATCACCTTCTTTATCTATTAGCATCACCATTTTTTATCTTTAAGTTTTAGGAAAGAGAAAACTACTTAGTTAAGTTTAAAAAAGAAGAAGATAGAATCTAATAATATCACATTTTAAAAAACAAAATCTGAGCAAGAATGGTGATTTTTAATTTGTGGCCTGTTGAAAAAGCTTCTTAAAAGGCTAGATGGAAAGATGAGTCTAATTTATTAATTAAAAAAAATCAAATTAAAAATGCTACATGGTATTTTAACACTGGTTTGGGGCAGTAATATACTACTCCTTCACGCGCCTAGTTTTCGTGAGAACACAATTACAATAGAAATGGCTGAAAAGGATGTATTTATCGCGAATATAAATAATTTCGTACGGTAGTAAGACCCCACAAACTTTAGGTGTCTACTTCAAAAAAAGACATAAGTTTAATGAGATAATTATGTGTTTTCTCTAATTTAAACTCTAAGTTCGGATAATTTACAAGCTCATGCATGTAGCGATTCAACACAATTCAATAGACTTGGTTTAAATATTGTATTTGTGTTTAAAACGTCACAAAATTACATAATATTGTTAAATAATTTATCTATAGCAAACTACTTTCTTAAAGTTCAAAAGTCATAAACTAAAAATCTTAACTTTACCCTCTTCTTAGACTCATATTTTATATAGGATTTAAGTTTTGTCGCATTAACCTAGAAAATATGAACACATCAGAAACGATAATTTACTTGGTACCTTGAAAATATTTACATAATTAGTGTATGTTTTATATAGAGGCTTATATACATATATATAAAGAAGCTTCTTACGGTCAAAGATAAACTTGTTTGCTTTTATATATATATATAAAGAAGCTTCTTACGGTCAGATAAACTTGTTTGAATTTCGAAATTTGAAAAGTGCCACATAAAATGAGACGGAGGGAGTATAATCTTTTTTCATGCATGTCCCCTGTAAGGCTATAACTGTCATTTTAATCTGTAGCCACATCATTCAATGCTCATCGTGTCTCATCCTTTATAACTTTTACGTAGATTTGAGAGATTATTTTTTTTTTTTGGTAGAAAAAGGAGGTATTATTATATATTAATATGCATTATTACAGGTTAGTGGCAGCATGCTGCTATTGTTACTCCTACTAGGAGAAGGGAGCTGCTATAATAATCCGATTTATTTGATTAGTTATTCAAACAATAGCCAGTGACATATATTTACTTAAAATTTTTATATAATATGGAAACTATAATGTATAATTAAACATTAGGAAATGTATCACTGGTTGTACAAATCATTATTATAATTAAAAATATAGACTTTTGTCACATTGTTATCCATAATTTCTAGCTAGGCGCGCAACAGATAGTAAAGTTTCAAGAACCAATTAATGGATCATACTTGGTTAGATAATTATCCTATTATTAAATTGATCACCTAACAAAGCTAAGAATATAAAGATGTAATGCACGAAAATGCCAAGGATTTAAAATGTGTTATATAGTATTATCTTCCAGCAAAATTAAAGAAGTTTCGATGAGCCCACTTGCACCTTATAGGCGAATTCATAATTTAAATTTATGATAATTAACCTTAAAAGTTTTTAGCATTGAATTTGTTATATATTCTAAAGTTGTATGTTCATACCTATAAAAACTCAGACCTAACAATTTTACATGAGGCCTTAGCATATATTATATTGAACAAACTAAATATAAAAATGATTTTGACTATGATATAATTTTAACTAGAAAATCTAACTCTAACTCATATGAGTATCGTCGAAAAATGGAAATAAGATAAAAACAAATTCTCTCGACCAATGTGGAATTAGTGACCCCTCTAAAGAGAAGTTTCAAAGTTAGAGACGAAAACTTTTGAGAAGGAAGTGACTCAATTGAATCTTTTTAAAATACTGTAGTATTTCTAGGGAGAGGACAGGATAACGACTCAAAAAGCTAGGGTGAAATTATCCAAAAAAGAAAAAGGACCTTTGCAACATGTTAATGCACGTTGCTGGTTATTGAAAGAAGTATCCATCATAAAATAAAACGTCGGTCGTAGTGGAATGATTGAGTTTTGTTAAAGAATGACTAAAGTCCCACATCGGTGGTTAATGAGATGGGTGGACTCCTTATAAGGCTTGGGCAATCCTCCTCCCTTTGAGCTAGCTTTTGGGGTGTGAGTTAGGCCCAAGACCTAATTTAACATGGTATCAGAGCAGGGCTCATCTCACCCGATGTTGGGGACCCCAAAATCAAAATTGCCCACGCACCAGATGCTAAGCACTGGGCGTGAGGTGGGGTGTTAAAGAATGACAAAAGTCCCACATCGGTGGTTAATGAGATGGGTGGACTCCTTATAAGGCTTGGGCAATCCTCCTCCCTTTGAGCTAGCTTTTGGGGTGTGAGTTAGGCCCAAGACCTAATTTAACAGAGTTCCTGAGAAGTTTTGAGTTCGAGTTCTTGAGAACGGAAAAAAATCTACTTAGAAGTGTCATGCACCCTCAAAAACCTTAAAATGCGTGAATTCAGATTTATCAAATCTCAATATAAGTAGAAACATAGCGGGAAAAAAAAATATCCACCAAAAAGAGTCATGCCCATTTTGGTATATTTGAGATATGCATGGTGACCCATGATGCTTTGTTAATAACACGCTAAAAGTAGTTAGTGCTTATTTTTAACGAACATTATCTTGTTTGGTGGTGAGCTAAGGAAGACTGATTGCGACCATTTTAGCCTTTTGAATTTATGTTGTTTAATAATAATTTGTAATAATCAAATAGCCATCAATGAGTTTAATTAATTTTCACGTCCATTTCTCTCACCACCCCTTACCCTTATAAAGGCCGATGAAAGAAACATTATATGTTACTTCCCTCTGTCCCTATTTACTTGTCCACTTTTGAATTGACACACTTATTAAGAAAACAATTAATGACATAATGAGTTTACCATTTTACCCCTGTTAATTATGAAGTGGATGAAAAGTTCTACATTTTTCAAAGTAATTAGTCATTTAATTGAGGGTATAATAGGTAAAGAAAAATTCGTCCTTTCTTGATTTGTCAAAATGGACAAGTAATTACGGACAATTATAAAAGAAAAAGTGGACAAGTAATTAGAGACAGAGGGAATAATATTTTTTTATAGGTAATTACCAGCAAAAGAATTGATATAGTTGGTAAGTGACATTTAAACGATTAACTTATCTATATAATAACTATTTGAGAACATGCATATATAAAAATTAAAATTTGAATC